TTATGCAGTGGTATCTCATTGTGGCTTTGATTTGCATTTCCCTAATGACTAATAATGCTGAGTATCTTTTTATGTGTTTATTAGTCAATTATATATCGTAAAAAATATTGAGAAACATTTGAGAAATGTCTGTTCATGTTCATCGCTCATCTTTTATCTATCTATTTATTTCTATTTTTATTTTTTAAAAGAATCATTTCATTTAACTTTATTTATTTACTTATTTTTATTTGCTCAGAAAGGGACAAAACACATGCATGAGAGAGAAAGAAAATGAGAAAGCAAGCCACCAGGTCTGGAACTTGAACCACATGGAAGTCCAGTACCCTTAACCACCATGCCACCTGCTGGCCCCATATATATTCTTTTGAGTGATTTTTACTACAGGGTGCATGTGGTTGCCAGAGACATAGAGATAGAAAGCAACAAATAGCATGTGTGTGGGGGGGCAGTGGCCATATTGCAATCTCTTCTCTTCTCAGGATTTTGGGCACACACACACATGCCTGGTGTGAGTTTCAAGTCACTGGGTCTGGGACTTGAACTGTGGTTGGTGACGTGGGAGTCCAGTGCCTTAACCATTACACCATCTGCTAGCCCCTTATCTATTTATTTTTAATTGACAATGAAAATTGCATATATGTATGATGTCCATTTTTTTAAAGGTTTTTGCCATAGGGTGTGTGAGCTTGCCAGAGACAGACAGTGAGAGGGAAAGTGAGAAATCGTATCCCCCTGGGCGGGGATGGATATGCTGCAATCCCCTTCTCTAATCTCCTCCTAGGATTTTGGGCACACAAAAACATGCGCCTGGTGTGATTTTCAAGCTGCCACGTCCAGGACTTGAACTGTGGTCAGCCATGTGGGAATCCAACACCTTAACCACTATACCACCTGCTACCCCCAGAGATGTTTTAATATAAGTCTACATTGTGAAGTGGCTAAATCAAGCTAATTAACATATGCATTACCCCACATGCTTATCATTTTGTTGTGGAGAACATACCTAACATCTATTGTCTTAGCAATTTTCTTTTCTTTTTAAAATTTTGTCAGAGGACACATGTGCTCGTAGGATAGAGAGAGAGAGAGAAGGAAAGTAAGAAAGTAACCTCCATGAAAAATTATCACATTACAATCTCTCCTCCATTTCTCCCTCCTTTTGGGATTTTGGCATGCACATACACATACCTGGCATCTGCAGTCAGTCATGTAGATCCAACTGCCTTAACCACCAGGCCACAGGTTGGGCTACAATTTTGAAGCATACACTATATTAACTGGAGTCATCATGATATCTAGAGTCACAATAAATCTCTTGAAATTATTTCTAATTGAAATTGTGTATTCCTCGACCAGTATCTCCCCAATGCCCCCACCTCCCAGTCTCTGGTAATACCATTCTATTCTGTATTTCTATAAACTCAACTTTTTTTTTTTTTTGGAGAGGTTTTTGCTATAGGGAGGGTGCGCTCGCCAGAAAGACAGAGAGAGAGAGAGAGACAGAAAGCAAGAAATCACCCCCGGGGGTGGGGGGATGGCCACACCACAATCCCTTCTTCTCCATTCTCCTCTCGGGATTTTGGGCACGCACGCACACGTACCCGGCCCGACTTGTTGCCACTGGGTCCGGGACTCGAACCACGGTTGACTACATGGTAGTCCAGCGACATAGCCATTACGCTAACTGCTGGTCCTATCCTCTGGTTATATCTTAGCATGTCTAGAATTTTAGTATCTTAGTGGCAAGACATCCTTTTATTATAAACACTGTAAAAGGAGGCTTTAACAGTTGTATAAAATGTTGAAAAAAAGTGATCAAGATTGGTCATTTAACTGTTTTGGTATAGTCTGCATTTGTCTCAATTCTATCTTATATATATTGTGCCAATTAAACTTTGGGGTAATTGTGCTATATTTTATTTTTGGAACTTTTGAAAATCAGCACTATAAGTGAAACAATGCTCATCTAATGTTGTTAAGAACATGTGGGAGGCTGCGCACCTGGGAGTCTGCTGAGGTTTCTCAGGGAGCAAACAATTGCCATGATAGGTTCCCTTCAAAAAACCTGACCTTTGAAACCTTGCTCTGATTGGCCACTAGAATCCCTCAAATTTGCATATCCAGCACCTCATGATTGGTCCAAAAGCAACCAATCACGGCCCACCATTTACAACCAATCATGGCCCACCGTTTACAACCAATCAGGGCCCACCGTTTACAACCCACCAGCGTGTATATAACCATGATGCCTGGCCCACAGTAGACAGACGACTAGGAAGACGACAACCAGGAACATGACGACTGAAGAACCTGAAGAGTTGAAACACCGCACAGTCTCCAGACGACCCTGAAGATCTTGAAGAGCTGACACTGCATCGTCTCCAGAAGACCTGGGAGACCCTGAAGAGTTGTAACACTACATTTCCTCCGGAAGACCCTGAAGAGCTGTGACACCATGTCGTCTCTGTGCCGCTCACAGTAGACAACGCGACCCTTAAGAGCTGTGACACTGCGTCGTCTCTGTGCTGTACCGTGCTGCCCACAATAAACGGACGACACTGTCGTCTCCAAAAAAATGTCCCGACTCTCACTCCTTCACTCAGGAAACCTGTTTGGCTGTCCCCCCAGGTCGGGACACCTGGCACCCGAACAGGGACGGGACAAGAACAGAGTAAACAATCCAAAAGACCTCATATATTATTATTTGATTAATCATAAACATACCACTAAAACAATGGGGAGGAGAGAAAGATGGCCTTTCAATAAGTGATATTGAATGAATAGCACACTTGTATGAAAAATATCAATACTGCCGATCCTATGCATAAAAATAATTTTGGATGGGTAGTAGACATAAAAATGAAAAGTAAAACAGTGGATAAGTGGGAGAAATGAATGAAAATACCTTTATAATCTTGAATTAGAAAAGTTAACAACATCGCCATTACGCTAACTGCTGGTCTCAGAAAAATATTTCTTAAACTGGGCAGAAAAAGTATTAATAATACAAGATAAATTATTCCTCACAAAAATTAACAACTTCATCAAAAAACCTAAGCAAAAAAGCAAATGACAGCTAGAGAGATAATATGTATAATATGAACATCTAAGAGCTTGTATCCACACTATAGAAAGAATCCTACAAATGAAAAAAAAAACAAAAACAAAATGAGCTACCAACTTAAAAAATAATAGGCAAAAATCTTGAACAGGTACTTCTGAAAAGAGGATCCCAAAAAAGTTAATAAGAAAAGAAAAAGGAACTAAGCATCATTAGCCATTGATGAAATAGAAATTAACCTAGACCGAGACACCAGCACACACTAGAACCAGGTTTTGGCACTTTACCACTGCATTTAAACTGCTCTAGTCAAGGTGGCCCATGTCATCCCCATTCCCTAACACAACGGACACTCTGCAATGTTTATGTTATTTGAACCTGCTAGCCATCCTCCTCTTAAAATTCTTGCTTTTGGGGCTGGCAGATGGCGTGATAGATAGGGTATTGGACTTCTACATGACTGACCACAGTTCAAGTCCCAGACCTGGCAGCTTGGTTGCTCATTTTCTCTCACTTTCTCTCACACACACATGCTGTCCCTCTCTGGTCAAATTAAAATACAATAAAGTTAAATAATTCTTTTTTTTTAAAAAAAGAAACTTAGGCTTAAAAAACAGTGATCTTCTACATATGATATACATTTTTAAAAGTTATAATGGTTGAAAATAAAAAGGATAACAAGAAATATCAAATAAATACAAAAACATTTTCTTTTAAATTCTTGCCTCTAAGACAGAAATGGGAGTCAGGTGTTGATAATGTATGTAGTATTCTTAACTGGACTGCTATGAGGTGTATTCATGTAGGGAGAATTCACTTTACAAGCTAAGTGATGTACAGTGATTGAATGTATAAATTAAAATAGAATGTAAAAAATACTTAACACATTAACAACAACAACAAAAGAAATGGGAGTCAGGTTTAGGTGTGGTGAGGATTAGGAGGCAGAAAAGAGCAACTAACATAGTTGGCACCACCCATGTTAACTGTTGATGTCAGGGCTTCTAAAGGGTAATATTTTAGAGTCTGGCCCTCAAATTTTTCAGTCACAAAGTGGTATATTAACCATATCCGAAGAAGACAAGTCTCTAAGTAATAGTTATAGTTCACTATTTAAGTCCCATCAGAAATGGTAATTTTAATCACAGTGTCAAATTATCCGTTTATAATGAGTACTCCCTTCCCAATAGTATTATACATATTTATCCTGGCATTGAGGGAAAGGTATTTGATCATCTTTCCCGGGAAATGTATTTGATCTGCTTTCCCTAGCCTCCATTCAAGTGTAACTCATCATCTTATCCTTTACAGACATTAGATCCATGGCCTGTTAAGGCCTCCTGGCATCAGAGCCACAACCTCTGGGTTCCCATTCTGACTCTAAGCTTCTCCTAGTATTCCCAAAACTTCCAAGTCCTTATTGATGAACTGGAGAATTCTTGGCTGTACCCTTCTCTATACTTCACATATTAGGCTGTACACAGACCTATCTTCCAAGATACTTACTCTGCCATGGTGACCTTTCCTTTGGTATCATGTTAAAAGTGGGACTTCTTTCTGGGATTTGTGTTCTTCTAGTCTACAGCCTGGTCACAAGTTCCAGGTATTCTTGGTGCATTTTTCATTTATCTGAAATCTCCATCCCTTCTTCCAAATGAAACTCGGGGGTGTGAAGAATGAAATACTGGGTAATTTCTTTGGAATCTATGTATCATCAGAACCAATTCCTACGTTCTCATACCCATAAACATCCATTTCTCACTATTATATACCCAGCACTGTGAGTAGTTCCTGACACATAGTAGGTATCCAATAAATTGGCTTCACGAAAAAAAGGTTTTTCTTTTTTTTATGTAAATATTACATGACCATTGCAAATAAAAACTTAAAAATTATAAGCACAGAAAATTAAGTTAAACAAACCAAAAAACCCCTGATATTTCACCAAACCTGAAAGAGCAATTATTAATTTTTTTGGAGACCATCGCTTCATTCCTCTCTCAAAAGTTCACATAAATACATATTACACAGTTTTATGACATACATGAGACACATTTTTCTACTTTTACAGTCCTTCCCCTCCCCCCTCCCTCCCATCAAGGCAATCAATATTACCAGTCTGATGTATATTCCTCCATACCTGTCTCCATGCACATCTAATCACATACAGACATAAATACATAATACATGGGTGTGACTATTATTTTAACAAAAATGAAATCTTGCATATATACAGTTCTGTTAAAAAGCAATTGTTTATCAATACATTGTGGAAATAGAATACAGTCAGTAAGTATAGCTATTCATTTAAAAAAATTATTCTCATGCTGCTCCATAATATGAATATATCATAATTCATCTAACCATTTCCCTATTAATAGGCATTCACTTTGTTTTCAGTTCGGGGATTTTTCTCCTTCTCCCGATAAGCAATACTTCAACAAATATCCTTATCATCATTATTATTATACATTGATGTTGCTTTTATTTGTATGAGACAGATTCCCAAAAGTGAGATTGCTGGCTTAAAAGGTATACGTATTTTACATTTTAAAATATATCTTGTTGGATTGCTGGTGGAAATATACATTATACAACCTTTAAGAGTATGTAGTTTCCCCAACCCTGCTAGCAAAAGATCTCTTAATTTCTGCTGATTCTCTAAAGTAGAAGTTTCATCTTATTGGCCCTTTTATTTGCTTTTCCCTGAGTATTATCTATGTTGAAAATCTTTCCATGGGTTAATGGCTCTTTGGAGTTGCTCTTTTATAAAGAGCCATCCAGTCTAAATGAATAAAAGATTTAAAATTTTTAAAACTTTATAAACAAATATAGGATACTGCGCATAACCAAGAGATTAAGGAGACCCTTTAACTAATAAAGAGTAAATCAAGAACCTAAAAATATATATTTTACTATAAGCAACAAAATGACGTGGCTTTACTGTATACAAGAGGCATAAAGACAAATGCTAAAGAAAAACATATGCTGTGCAAATGACAAAATATTAGTATCTAAAATATATAAAAGCATCTCTGTATTTATAATGAGGGCAGTTTAAATAAATAAAAATAGGCAAATATATATATATAGGCAATTAATTAGAGATAATTCCTAAATGAATAAAGTATGAGACACTTTCATCTGTCCATTACTTTCCCCTAATGTGAATTTTCTTATAACGTCTGAGATTTGGCATGATTAAATGCTTTTCCACACTCGTGTCTTTTTAGTGTGTATTTTTACAGTGGATATATGCTGAATATTTTCCCACATTCATAAAGTATAGTTCATAAGATTCTTCTTATGGAGTTAATATATGAATAAATTATTGTCCTCTATATTAACTGAGTTTCTCTCTGATGTATTCTTTGATGTACAGTAAGGCTTGAGCTACTCCTGAAGGCTTTTCCACATTCATTACATTTATAGGGTTTTTCTCCAGTATGCATCCTCAAGTGTACAGTGAAGTCTGAGTTAGTTCTGAAGGCTTTTCCACATTCTTCACATTTATAGGGTCTCTCCCCAGTGTGAATCCTCTGATGCAGAGTCAGTTGTGATAGAGTAATACAACCTTTTCCACATTCCTTACAGGTATAGGGTTTTTCTCCAGTATGTGTTCTCCAATGCACTGTAAGGTAGGAACCTCTTCTGAAGGCCTTTCCACAGACATCACACTTGTAAGGCTTCTCTCCACTATGAATTTTCTGATGTTCTGTGACATGTACCATCTGGCTAAATGCTTTCCCACAGTCATTGCATTTAAATGGTTTCTCTCCAGTATGTGTTCTCTGATGAGTATTGAAGCCCGAGTTACTTGTGAAAACCTTCCCACATTCATTACACTTATAAGGCTTCTCTCCAGTATGCCTTCTTTGATGCACAGTAAGCTGTGATGTGTTAGTAAAAGCTTTCTCACATTCATTACATTTATATGGTTTTTCTCCAGTATGGGTCCTTTGATGTACAATAAGGTATGATTTAGTCCTGAAAGATTTTCCACAATCATAGCATTTATAGGGTTTTACTCCTGTATGGATTTTCTGATGCTCTTTAAGATTTACCATTTTGGTGAAGGCCCTCTCACAGTCAGTACATTTATATGGTTTTTCTCCTGTATGAATCCTATGATGTACAGTTAAGTGAGACTTTATTCTGAAAGATTCCCCACATTCATTACATAAGTAAGGTTTCTCTTCAGTATGAATACGCTGATGTATAATTAGAGATGAAGAACGCATAAAGGCCTTTCCACATTCATTACATATATAAGGTTTCTCTCCCGTATGCATTCTATGGTGTACAGTAAGGCATGAATAATTAATGAATGCTTTCCCACATTCATTACATTTATAGGGTTTTTCTCCTGTATGAATTCTTTGATGTTCTGTGAAATTTGCTATGCGGTTGAATGCCTTCCCACATTCATTACATTCATATGGTTTTTCCCCAGTATGAGTTCTTATATGTACAATGAGGCTTGAATTACTTCTATAGGCTTTCCCACATTCATTACACCTAAAGGGTTTCTCTCCAGTATGAATTCTCTGATGAACATTAAAAATTGTGGTATTCTTGAAAGATTTCCCACACTCATTGCATTTATATGGTTTCTCTTCAGTATGGGTCTTCTGATGCACACTAAGATATGACTTATTTCTAAAAGCTTTCCCACAATCGTTACATTTGTAAGGTTTCTCACCATTATGAGTTTCCTGATGTCTCGTAAGTTTTGATTTATCACTGAAAGCTTTCCCACATTCGCTGCATTTATAGGGTTTCTCTCCAGTTTGAATTTTCTGGTGCTGATTAAGACGAGCACACTGGCTAAAGGATTTTCCACAAACGTTACATTGATAAGGTTTCTCCTTAGTATGAATTCTCTGGTGTACCATAAGTGATGAAGAAGCAATAAAGGCCTTTCCACATTCATTACATTTATAGGGTTTTTCTCCAGTATGAATTTTTTTATGCTGACTAAGGTATGAAGGTTGGCTGAATGTTTTCCCACACTGACTACATTCATAGGGTTTTTCTTTAGTGTGGGTTCTCTGATGTTGAATGAGTAATGATCTGTAATGAAAGGCCTTTTCACATGTACTACATTTATAAGGTTTTTCTTTATTACTGGATTTTTTCAAAGTATATTCTAAAGTCTGCCTTAAGATTTTGCTGCCTTCCATATCATTGCAAATTATCTTCCCCATATGGGTATCTGTAATCAAATTTAAATTTTCTGTGAAAGATTCCATATGTGTTTGGCATTTGCTGTGGGGCTCTTCTCTGATAACTCCTGCTTCTGGAAAAAGAATAGATCCAAATCTAAAGCCCCTTTGACCAGTGGGAGTTTTCTTGTGTGTAACTATGCTTCGACTCAAATAATCCTCCTGACTATTTTGCAGTTTCAATATTTTGTCATTCCATTTCCATAATCTTCCTATTCTAGAATCGCACAAATCATTCTCTGTGAAATTCTCTATTATGGACTCCTGTGATAAATCTTCAGAAACATCCTCTGCTAGAATAGCATTCTTGATTGTAGGTTTGGTCTCCATGTCTAGGGGGGGAAAAGGAGAAAAATAAAATAACTCCTATTTATTAATCTGAGGAAATACCACTAAGCAGGATAATAAAAGTGAAGAGAGAGCCAATAATGAATATATGATTTGAACTGCTTGCAAACACACCTTGGTTTTTAGGAAGAAGGTAGGGTTAAAGAAGGCTAGTTGAGTAAAGAACCAAAGGATCAAGTTTAATGAGGGTTTTCTCATATAAAAAAATCATTCATGGTAACTTTCCCACTATATAATCTAAGTCACAAATATTTAGTCCTTTTATCATTCACTTTAGAAGAAACTTTTTGAGAGAGAGAGAGAGAATTTTCACTATAGAGTCCATGTGCTTACCAGAGAGAGAGAAACATAAAGAGAGAAATTACCCCCCCAGTGGGGATGGCCACACTATAATCCCTTCTCCTTGATTTTCCTTAGGGATTTTGGGCACTCGTGCACACATTCCCAGAGTGAGTTTCAAGTTGCTGAGTCTGGAACTAGAACTGCAGTCAGCCATGCAGGAGTCTAGTGCTTAACAACACTATGTCACCTGCTGGTCCTGAGCCGACTTCTTTAGAATGTATTCTTCGTAAATTGTCACTACTTCCTATTTCTTATTTACTCCACAAATCAGACCTCTCTCTTCAACCATACCTTCTATTTGTTCTTATTCTTAGTTGATGAGTTTCTATTGTAGGAGCTTTCTCAACTGTCCCTGACAGAATAGTTTATCTAAGTCTCTGTACACAACCTTTAGTAGAACCTTTAAGAAAAAAGAAAAAAAAAAGACATTTTGGTTTTCAAAGAGTGGACTGAATAACAAACAATACAAAATTAATATTTAGTTATCAATATTTCAAATAGTGATAATTATTACCTAATCAAGAGTAACTTTTCTAACTTAAAAAAAAATATTGCTAGAGAGTGTGTGTACCCACCAGAGAGAGAAAGGAAAAGTGAGAAAGCATAAGTTAAGAAGCATCCCAACAGGGTACAGCCATACCACAATCTCTTATCCTCCATTTCTCCTGTTGGGATTTTGGGAATACCTGCACACATTCCCAGTGTGCTTCTCAAGCTGCCAGGTCTAGGACTTAAACCATGTAGTCCATTATGTGGGATCCAGCTGCCTTAACCACCACAGCACTGGCTGGTCTACTTTTCCAATTCTTTTATGGGCCTTAGCCATAAAAAATTCACTTTTCAGAAAAATTCCTACTGTAAGAGGTCTTACAACTTGTTTGTATATGCAATTTAATATTTCATCATTTTAAAAACAATACTTATAATAACTTCTAATTCACTACCAGCTGGCTAGGATCAAAACCTTTTGTAGATATAATAATACAAAGGTTTTATGCCTTTAAAACCCATTTTCTTCTTTTTTTTTCCCTTGAGATATTTTTGCTATAGAGCATGTGTGTTTTGCTGGACAGAGAGAAATCACACCCCTTGCGGGGGCAGTGTGTATAGCCATGCCACAATCCCTTCTCCTCCATTCTCCTCTTGGGACTTTGGGCATGCATACACATCCATCTGGCATGAGTTTCAAGCTGCCGGGTCTGGGACTCAAACTGTAGTCGACCACATGGGAGTCCAATACCTTAACCACTATGCTGGCCCTGCATTTTCTTCTTCTTAAAACTATTGCCAGAGAGGACACCTTCCTTCATGGCTCCTGTGATCTAGCCATTTTGGGGGAAACAGAGAAATGAAGATTTCCCACTGATAATTCGGCCTCCAGACTACAAAACTTGCATGGTAGGAAGACCCCTTTCAGGCCTCCTGTCTGTATCTGTCTTTGTCTCTCTCTACCTCTGTCTCTGTATTCTCTCTTTTTATCAATTTTTGCTTTTTAGAATTTTTTAAGGTGAGGCATTTTTTCTGGGCTTTCTGGCCCCTCCTATCCCTTTATCTTGTTAATAATTCCCTCTCCCCCTACCAACCCAGGAGAGGTAGAAGGAAAGGGAACAGGCCTTCTTGAAGAGACACCTTCCTTCCTTCCATCTAGTCATTTTGCCATTTTTCACGGCGCAATTGTGTGCCATGCAGTTTTCTAATTTTTGGGTTTTATTGAAATTTTTTGAATATTAAATTTTTTTTTAGTTTGATTTAAAAGTTTTTCTCTTCGTTTTTCTTCTCTTTTTCTGTTTCTTGGTTGTTCCTGTTGTTTCTCTCTCTCTATTTCCTTTTCTGCAAGCTCCTCGACCCTCAGATTTGACTTCCAAGTTTGGGAAGAAACCGACCATCCACCAGATGACTAGAAATTGCTACAGGACCACAAGAAATATGGGGAAGCAGGAAAATACCTCTCCTCAAAGGGAAAAGGATAACTCCTCTTCATCCACACACAGTTCAATGGAAATCATGGAAATGTCTGATAAAGAAGTCAGAACATTCATAATGGCAAAGCTAACAGAAATGGAAGAGAAGAGAGACAATGAACTGCTGAAGAGAAAGGAGAAAGGAGTTGGAGAGTTCCAGGAGGTGAGGAAATTCATGCAAGATCTAAAAGAGGAATTTCATACTTTACAAAAGAATCAGATAGAACTGTTATAGATGAAGGATATAATACAGGAAGTCAAAATCTCCCTTGAAAGTATTAAAAGCAGACTAGATCATACAGAAAATAGAATCTCAGATGTAGAAGAGAAAGTTGCTGGCCTAGAAAAATCCACCACAAAGACTGAGAAAATGGCCCAAAAATTTGAGAATAATTTATGAGAAATACTAGATATCATCAAATGTCCAAACATCTGGATAATAGGCATCCCAGAAGGTAAAGAGACTCATAAGGGCATTGATAATCTATTCCATGAGATCCTGCAAGAAAACTTTCCAAACCTAGAGAGGCACTCAAAGATCCAGTCCCAAGAAATACTGAGGACCCCGAACAGAATCAACCCAAGAAGATCTTCTCCAAGACACATTATAGCCAGACTGACAAAAACCACAGACAAAGATAAGATACTAAGATTGGCAAGAGAAAAATGGCAAGTTACCTACAAAGGGTATCCCATCAGACTGACAGCAGACCTCTCATCGGAAAC